CTGCCGCTGGGTGAGGGCTGCACCTGGGGCACGTTGTGGGGCGGGACCCCCTCGCCAGCCTGACCCACTTGGAGTTGCGCGCACGGGGAAAGTGCGGTGCGCTGCGGCAAGCATCCTAGCGTACCCAGTACCCAGTCGCCCGCATCCGCGGATCCAGCCACCCGCGGATCATGTAGGGTGTTTACAATCCGCAGTGGCTTGAATCGTGGATGCGAAACTCGCGTATGCAGAGGGCCGAATATAAAGCTTGAACACCTGTGGATGCTGGTATCTGTTTCTGGTCCTGGAACCAATCATCTGCAAATACGGAGGGACGGCGGTGCTGGGTAATGACAGCGGGCACTTGCCATTTCCCTTATTTTGCGGATATGGAAATTGAGGCACAAAGTGTTGACATCTCTGTCCCATGTCCTCACCTCTAGTTTATGACAGGGCCAGGCAAACGCAACTAACAATACCCCTCCTTACGGTGCATATTGTTAGCACTTTTTAAAATAACTTTTTAAATCGAAGTATAGTCGGTTTACAATGTTGTGTTAATTTCTGGTGTACAGTATAGTGATTCAGTTGTACATACATATATATTCCTTTTCATATTCTTTGTCATTATAAGTTATTACAAGATACTGAATATAGTTCCCTGTGCTCTAGAGTAGGACCTTGCTGTTTATCTATTTTGTACACAGTAGTGTATATCTAACTAATCCTGAACTCTCATTTTATCCCTCCACCCCTCTCATACTCCTCGGGTAACCGTAAGTTTGTTCTCTATGTCTGTGAGTCTGTTTCTGTTTTGTAAATAAGTTCGTTGGGGTCATTTCTTTAGATTCCACATATAAGTGATATCATACAGTATTTTCTGTTCTCTTTCTGGTTTACTTCACTTAGAATGACAATCTCCAGGTCGATCCACATTGCTGCAAATGGCATTATTTCATTCTTCTTTATGGCTGAGAATATTCCATTGTATAAATATACCACATCCTCTTTCCCAGTCATCTGTTGATGGGCATTCAGGTTTCTTCCATGTCTTGACTATTGTAAATAGTGTTAGCACTTTTTTTAAGTGCTAAACTCAATCTTACTCTCAAAGCTCTTTGCTTTTTTTTTTTTTCCCTTAGAGGCATTTCCAAAAGATGGTATTTATTATAGGTTAGTCAGGCATGGCGCTCTCTGAAGTAACTCCACTCACTTTTTAATTTGCTTTCTCTGGAGTTCTTCACATTATTTGATCAAAGGCACAAAGGGGAAAATGCAGCAGTCTCATTTTCCCCCACCTCCACCCCCACCAGTCCCCGACCCAGAATGGACAAGTGTTTGGGTCTCATGTCAGTAAATAATGCAGCTGACGAGAGGGCTGCTCTTCGGTGGTTTTTGCATAGCTTGTCTAGAAATGACAAACCATAAGCATTGGACAGATCCCACAGGGTTTCCCTTCTCGGGGTCAGATGATGGGGAGGGCCTAGCCAAGGCAGGGAGGGACACATTTGTCACAGTTGTGGCAGATATGTTCCCACCTGGGGCTGCCCCAACTTTGTTCTGGTCGGAGGAGAAAGAACTCACTGAAATGCTTAGTAGAAAAAGAAAGCAAGAAAGCTTCTGACAAAGGCTATGCCGTTTCATCAGAGTAACAGTAACACAGTGTGAATTCTGCACGCTCTTCCGGGAACCCAGGACACTCTTTGGTCTCAGTTTACTCAACTGTAAAATCAGGTGTTGGTCACAGCTCTGAAGACCGTTCTTCTGTATTCTCTGTCTGACTCATTTGAAACCTTTCACATATGTTTAATAACTTATATTCATTTCTTCTGAGATACAACTCATATTCCTTGCAGAATATTTAGAGCAGTGCTGCCGCAGGTGTGGCCTCTGGAAGGGGCTGGTCCCCAAACTGTCTGTTTCAGATCTGCAACAGGATAAGGACAGAAACTGAGAGTAGGGGGCCGAGTAACTTTAGTGGCAATTGAGTGTCACCATGGCACCCAAATAGGACTCATTTTTCTTGTAATTCATTTCTACCGGGTTCCACCAAAGCCTCAGACCACTTTCATCTTAAGGGGTTGCAGGATGCCAGTTTGGGTGAGATGTTGGTCACTGCAGACTTGTCTGAAGCTTAGAAGGAGGCAGGCGATGGATGGCGTCATGCTCTGCAGTGTGGCTCAGGGAGGCAGCACCTCTGTGGGCCCCCTTCAGACTGCCCTTGACCTCCCTTGACCTCCCTTCCTGGGAAACTCCCACGAGTCCAAGATGGGAAGCAGGCAGCGGCTTCCTTGGGAACACCAGGGCATCTCACAACTTCCCAAGGCTTTAGGAAAAATGAGAAGCAATCAGTTAAAATGCTCTTCTCTCTAAGAAAGCGTTATTGCCTTGGTCTGCTTTTCCACAGGAGCACTTACTTCTTTTTCTTTAAGCAGAAAAACCCATCCCTGATGCCCAGGGCATCAGCTCCCCTGGCTCTCTCCTCCGTTCCCCCTAGAAACCTGCTTTGGTCCACACGGAACTCAACAGATTAAACATGGTGGTTTATGTGACTTTGACGATTCGGACTTGAAAGCAGTTGGCCTCAAGTTATAACCTCAACTATGGAGACCTTTGCTTTGTTTTCCAAAAATATCTCATCTTTGAGATCGACATGAGATTGATTCTTTGATTGATTTTGATCCTGGCAGTTTCCAACCCTGATGGGGTCACCTGACCCCTGCTTCTGAGCATTGTCGTGGTTGTGCTTAGGAGTCGCTGATGCTAGAGTGCTTTCAGCATCTTCAGAAGAAAATGACCCCCCTCTGCCAAGCCAAGAGCACCAGCCCCCAGCTGCCGCAGGCGTTGAGTCCTAAGGGCTCACACTTTTCACCCTTCTGTTGGGGAGTGCCCTTGGTGGATGGGTGCTTCCTGGCCTGGAGATTTCCAGAACATGACAGCCTCACACTCAGGGGTAGCCTATAGCCAATGATGAATTAATGTGGGAATTTTAACAATCTGGCCTCTAGAGGGGATGACTGTGGTGCAGGTCACACTCCAGAGCTCCCCGTGGATCAGGCTGAGGCCAGATCTGTCCTAAAATGACAGCCCTTAAGCTCCTCCCCCTTCTTGCTTCTCTTACTTTCTTTCCTGGGCCCTTAACCTCAATAAATCATTGCATGAAAATCTTGGTCAGACTCTACTTCTGGTAAAGCTGGCCTACGACAGATTCCAAGGAAGTGCCTCTCCTTTCCCACTGTGACTGCCTCTCAGCTAAATGCACCATCTGACCCTGGTCACCAGGCTGCCCTGACCTGGCCTCCTCTGAAGAAGCTGAAAGACCTCAATGTTCATACTCTTCAAGGCAATCAACAGATTTAATGTGATCCCTATCAAAACCCATGGCACTTTTCACAGAACTAGAATAAATCATCTTAAAATGTGTATGGAACCACAGAGGAGCCCCTGAATAGCCAAAGCAATCTTGAGATGAAAGAACAAAGCTGGAGATAACCATGCTCCTTGACTTCAAACCACACTACAAAGCAGCAGTAATCAAAACAGTATGGTACTGGCACAAAAACAGACTTGTAGACCTATGGAACGGAATAGAAAACCCAGAAATAAACCCACACACTTGTGGTCAATTAACCAACAACAAAGGAGGCAAGAATATACAATGGGGAAGAGACAGTCTCTTCAATAAGTGGTGCTGGGAAAACTGGACAGCTGCATGTGAAAGAATGAAATTAGACCATTTCTCACACTATATACAAAAATAAACCCCAAATGTATATGTGTGTACACACACACACACACAAAATGGTATATTACCATAAAAAAAGAATGAAATTTTGCCATTTGCAACAACATGAATGGACCTGAAGAGTACTTTGCTAAATGATACAAGTCAGAGAAAGACAAATACTGCTTGATTTCATTTATATGTGGAATCTACAAAATAAAGCAAACAAAATAGAAACAGACTCGCAGATACAGAGAACAAACTACAGTTTGTTGCCAGAGGGGTGAGGTAGGAGGGAGGGGGAAATGGGTGAGGAGATTAAGAGCTACAAACTACTAGGTATGAAATAGGTAAGTTGTAAGGGCGTAATATACAGCACAGGGAATGTAGCTAATATTTTATAACTTTATATGGAATATAATCTGAAAAAATATTGAACTGCTATGTTGTACATCTGAAACTGATACAATATGGTAAGCAAACTACACTTCAATTTAAAAAAAAATTTAGAAGAAAGTCAGCGACATGGATTTCCCTTAAAAAAATAAAAAAGAAAAGAAATGGACCTTAGTTGAAACCTGAAGCCCTAATGAAAGGTTTACATCATCCTTCATTATTTTCTTTTTTAGCAAACACCACAGAAGGAAAATCACCTTTTTCAGTTGTGTTTTTGGTATTATTAATCTCTCTTGTCTGTCATCTCACTAAAACAGCATTTTCCAGATCTTTTCTCCATCATTGCTATTGTAAGAAGCCTTTGTAGAAAATTTTTCTTAATCTTGACTTCATGATGTTTTTGCCCGTGGATGATATAAAATCCACCACGTTAACCATTTTTAAGTGGTTACAATTCAGTTTAAAGGGTACAGTTCAGTAGCATTAAGTACATTCACATCACCATTCTCCATTTCCAGAGCTTTTTCATCTTCCCCAGCTGAAATTCTGTACCCATTAAATAGTATCTCTCCATCACTTCTCTGCCCAACTCCCGGCAACCACTAATCTCTTTTCTGCCTCTGTGAGTTAGCATATTCCAGCTACCTCCTGTAAGGGTTGGTCTTGTCCACTGTGTCCCCAGCTGTAAGTACTCAACAGTCACACGGTGAATACTTCTCAAGCTCCTTCCACAACCATTCTTTATATTTTAATGCACCCTCATTAAAAATTGCCCCAACGTAATCACAGATGTATCCCAACACTCAGTGCCCCACGCTGCCCGGCCGACATCTCAACAGCCATTTCCCCCGCTGGGCACCCGCTCCTCAAAGGCCTCATGTCTGCCTGCTCTCTCCCACAGAAGTCAAAGATTACGAGCCTCCGTTCGGTTCCAAGGTGCGGGAGCACCCCTGTGTGGAAAGCATGAAGGACAACGTGCTGAGAGACCGGGAACGGCCGGAGATCCCCAGCTCCTGGCTCAGCCACCAGGTAAGCAGTGAGTGTCACCAGGGACAGGTAAAGTTCACCCAAAGTCACCTCTTAGGTGGGAGAGAATTCCTGGACATGGGGCATCAGTCTGAGGGTTGGCCCCTTTGTGTGCTGTGATCCTGTTAGGTTTTGTTTATAAAGAAATTTCAACAACATGGGATTTGACCTTGTCGTAAGTTTCAACCACCCTTCCGGGCTCGCACGTCATCATCTGAAGGGCGCTTGTCCCATTGTCCAAGCCCTCTTGGTCCTGAGTTGAGATACTCTGTTTGCAGTCCCTGCCACCTACCCCCATGCCTTTCCATGGGGAGTTTATGTTTTGTTCCCTTCTGGGTTCCAAATGTTTTCTTCTGGGAATCTTTAGCTCTGGAAGGAAGTACTTAGTGGAGTGAGAAAGCAGCAGCATTTGTCAGCCAGCTGGACCCAGAGGGGCCGCCGTGTGCTGAGGCTGTGGGCAGGGATCTGCGGCTGTGCACAGAGTGGGGAAGGAGGCGTCTGGGGTAAAGGGCAGCAGAGAACAGGAAAGTGCAAGTGAACAAATAGGAAATCTGTCTGTCTGTCCTGAACTTCCCAATGACTTTTTTTTTCTTTTCAAGAAATGCTAGTAAGGTCATCCATCCAGAGCAGGGCAGTGGTTCTGACTTACAGGGAGTCCTACCCAAATTCTTTGGTTTGGGGGCATTTCGATGGGGGCATTGGTCGGAGAAAGGAAGGAGGCTGTAGCTTGTGAGAGGGGGGACTGTCTGGCACAGCGGAGAAGAGCCGTGGATGAAGGAGAGGGGCCCTATCTCAATGTCAAGACTGTCCTTTCCACAGAGGTAAACTTTTATGGCTGCCTTTGGGTGAATTCCCTTATCCAGGAAAGGCTGGGGCGCCATCATAGGTTTCCTAAGGGCAAGGCAAATTCAGATGAGAAACAGATACAACAGATCAGGCACAGTCAAGAAGACAGATGGAGGAGGAAGCCTGGTCTGTTGCCAGCCCTGGCCGAGCGCCCCTGCAGCCGACAGACCCTGACAGTCAGTGAAGAGCGTGGGCCAGACTACCCTCGCCCAGGGCATCCCCCAGGGTTTCGGTACAGCCTCTTTGACTCTGAAAATGCAGGACTGTTCTGTGTTAACTCTGAAATCAGAAGGCACTAGTGTCTTTTCTTTCCAACTCTGTTGCCTCCCCTGTTGTACAGTTCTTGTAATGAAGCCATTCCTCGTGCTGATAAGATTCTGGAAAGAATTTGCATAGTACATTTTTTCTCTTAATGAGGTTTGTTGCCCTATTGATTTCCAGTTAATGCTTCATATTTAATCTAATTTACTGCCTGTAATTACAGTGTCAGAAGAAAATAAATGTTACTTGTGTACCAACAATAACCCTCTACTCTTAACAGGGCCATCAATCAATACTGTCAATTTGGCGAATTATATAGTTAATTCAACACCATGCACTCACAGGCGGGAAGGGAGGGAGGGGTTCTGGCGTGTGCTGGGGAAGTCGTTGGTTTACATCGCGAACAGGAAAGCACCCTTCTCAGGGCAGTGGGGAGACTGATGTGTCCCTCCCGGGCCACCTGTGTGAGGGATCGCGGGACGGGGCTGGGCCTCTGACTGGTAGGAGCACTGTTGGGCTGTCTGTTTAACCCGTGCCCGCGCTATTTCTAAAAAACGACTTGGAATAATAAAAATGTTTGCAGAGCAAAATGCAAATTGAAGCCCAGAGAGAAGACGCTGGTCACCACTGCGGGCGGCATTTTCTGGATGGGCCTTTTGGGTGGGGCCTCTATGGGGTTAGGCTGGATGCTCTGAAACAGTCCAGGACAACAAACAGCAGTTTCCCAGGGTCTCCCTGATGTTGGAGAGGAAGGGGCCTAGCAGCTGGCCTCCTTAGCAGCTGCCAGAAGATGGGACTGAACCAGTCTACAAAGCCAGTGGACTTTCCAAAGGAAACCAGGCTTCTCTCAGACTGGGATATTCAGGCCTGTTTAAATAGGATGTGCGGCCTCAGGGAGGGAATGGCTCAGTGGTAAAGTGCGTGCTTAGCATGCACGAGAGGGTCTGGGTTCAATTCCCAGTGCCTCAGTTAAAATAAACAAACCTAACTACCCCTCTCTCCAAAACTAGGAACATGTATATGATATGGTTCCAACTCTAAGACACCCTAGAAGATGCAAAAACCACAAAGACAAGATCAGTGGTTATCAGGGGCTCCAGGGGAAGGCAGGAGGGGGACCAGGTGGAACACAGAGGGTTTTAGGGCTGTGAAATTTTGTAGGGTGCTCAAATGGTGGATACCTTTGTCAAAACCCATACTACCCAGGGCCTGTACCTTAATGTGAACTGTGGACTTGGGCTGATAGTGACACGTCACTGTGGGTCATTGATTTTTATCAAATGCACCAGACGGATGCAAGGTGTTGATGGCAGGGAGGTTGTCAGGGCCCGGGAGGGCATGAGGTTTGGGGTGGGGGTGGGGGGTCATATGTGGAGGTTCTGCAGTTTCTACTCAGTTTCGCTGTGAACCTAAAGCTACCCTCAACAGCAAAGACTAAAACTGTCCCCCCTGAAATAGAAAGGTATGAAAAGGCATTAGAAACCACATCCTGGGAATGCTCAGGACTAGGGATGCTGGTGTACTCCAGAAGCCCACTGGAGGATTCTTTTGCTGTGTCTGCATTTCCCCACTGATCAGGTGGCTCCAGAGCGCTGGGTTTGGGGGTTCCGGGGCCCGCCCCCCACCCCTGCACCACCTGACCTCTCCTTCCTCCTGTCCCTGGCTGGCCTCCAACGGCGCACACAGCAATCAGATTGCACTGGACACTGGCCTGCATGGGGCGGGTGGGTGGCAGGGCTGTGGGGACAGACAGGGGCCACCTGGCCTCCGGGAGCCGCCACCCCTCTCAGGAGCCTGTGGATCCTCTCCCTCTGCAGGGCATCCAGACGGTGTGTGAGACACTGGCCGAGTGCTGGGACCACGACCCCGAGGCCCGGCTCACCGCGCAGTGCGTGGCCGAGCGCTTCAGCGAGCTGGAGCATCTGGACAGACTCTCGGGGAGAAGCAGCTCGGAGGAGAAGATTCCCGAAGATGGCTCCCTGAACACTACCAAATAGCTCTTCCGGGCGGCCCGGCCGAGTCTGCGGAGGCCGCCCCTGTGGCCAAAGACCAGAGGCAGCAGGAAGCCGCCCCTGAACGATGCTTCCTGGAACCCGGGGTCGCCCCCCTCCCCACGCAGGGCAGAAACCCCCGCGGCGGGAAGGGGGTGACAGGAAGCATCCTGTGCCTTTGACGTTGTCATAGGATAAGCTGTGTTAGCACTTCCTCAGGAAATGAGATTGATTTTTTACAATAGCCAATAACATTTGCACTTTATTAATGCCTGTATATAAATATGGAATAGCTATGTTTTATATATATATATCTATATATGTCTATATCTATATATTCAGCCATACTCTGGAAAGAGGCGAGGAAAAAGATCAAATATTCCCAGGAAATGGGTTTGGTTGGAGAGCTCCGCACGGAGTGCAGAAGGGAGTGCTCTGGGACAGCCTCAGCACTTGGCAATCACGCATGCGCGGGTTCTCTGCGCACACAGGGGCCTCCGCCTTCCGAGGAGGGCTCCGCGACCCAGAGTCTGCTATGGCCACGTTGCACTTGCTTTTGCAAAGTACTAATCCCTCGCGCTGGGTCGTCTCCTGGCTGTGGATCTGATTACAGTCACACTATTGGGGGACCAGACCCTGGGGTCCTCGTGTGCATCATCTCTCCTCAACTTTTCACCGGGGCTTCACGCCCACATCCAATTTGAAAACCTCCTTCCTGAGCTAGCTCAGAAACTTTGCCCCATTTCTAGTTGCTTAAACGTTTGGAACCCCATTTTTTCACCTTCACAGGCTGCAGAAAAATCCGAAGGATGAATGTCCCCATCCGTGAAATTGCCACGTCATCTGCTAATGAGAAATTGTTCTTAAAAAAAAAAAAAACCCTATACCTGTGTCACTCTTCTCTTCTTCCTAAGAGAGAACAGATCCCTCTAGGGTTCTTGATGTTTAATTTTTCATCCCGCTTGGTTTGAATCTCGAGCTTTCTACGCAAACTCCAGTGGGTTCCATCCTTCTGGTGCGCTCGTGTATTTTGGCTAAGTATAAAGTATTTCAGCTGCACAGCACTGCCACGGTCGGGACTCTTTTTCTTCAGGCACTCTGAAAATGTGTTTTGCTTGGACCGCACAGCGTTTAACAAAACCGAGCCCCTTTTTAAATATTTGGAGATTTTGCAAAAAGAAAAAATCTGGATATTCAAGCAAGACTAGCAAGACTGGGGTCTCCAGTTCTCTCTAGTCCACATCATTCACAGATCAAGGTGTGGACACACTTAGAAAGCTGCTTCACTTCCTTCCGTGAACGTTTGCGTTTTCCGCCTACCCCCACCCCCAAGTCTGAGAGTTAAACCAGAAATGTGCATTCATGCAGTCATTCTCTGGTTATGTAGTATGATATAGATTCCCTTCCTGGGGTAAAGATATGGAATTGACCTTTTTTGTTTGGACTAATGGGGACCTCCCTTAGGTGGTCCCCATTAACCCAAGTCTCTTTCGCTTGTATATTAAGAGCCTTCCCTTCTGCACTGGGGAGGGAAGCCCTTTACTCCAAGAAGCTGTCGTCATGGCTACAGATCTCCATCACACCTGCTTCCCAACCTTTGCAGAATTTGAATGTGGGACACGGGAGTCCCATTTGTTAGGAAATCTGTGTCCGTGTGGACAAGAACAAAGAAGAGCTTTAATACTCCAAAGGAAACTCGTTAATCCACAAACAAGTGTTAATGCTGCAAGTAACAATCTCTTTTTTAAAAATGTTTTTTAAGCTTGTTTTCAGCCAAATAGGAATATCGGAGAGGGACTATCAGTGGTCAGATCAGCTCTGCTTGGGTTTTGGAAGGTCTCATCTCATTGGGGTCTTAGCAGACCTGCTGAAGATTGAAATTAGCTGGAACTTTTAGGAATCTTGCTTGGTGGGGATGAGCGGAGAGTTCAGGACAGTTTGGCCGGAAGTGCCCAGCAATCCCATGCACTCTAGGGCTGTTGACGCCGTCCCAAGAGCTGTTGTTCATTGACCCCTAGTGGTGAGTTTTTAGAATACTGGTCCATCGATGGCATCTTCCAGGATTCAAAAGAGCTTTATCACGTTGGTGTCATCATCAGCATAAACTGGAATGTAGTGTCTGTCAAATGATACTGTGGCTTGTTTTATGTTTTTTCTTCCTTATTCGAGAAAAAGACCAAGGAATAACATTCTGTAGTTCCTAAAAATACTGACTTTTGTTTCACTACTATACGTAAAGGGAAAGTTTTATACTTCTATGGAACACTTTGGCAGTACTCCTGTATTAAAATAGGAATGTGAATGCTATATACTCTTTTTTATATCAAATGTCTCAAGCACTTATTTTCATTCTATGCATCGTCTTTTATATAAATAAAACGTTTATTCGACTGAATAAAGCAAAAATACTCAGGTCAGCTTCCTGCCTCCTGTTTCCCGTTCATCATAGCCCATTAGCCTCGCTGGGTTACTTTGTGGTTTGTGCAGAAAAAGCCACAAGACAAATCCTCCCCAACTTTTCCATATTCATTGTCTTCTTCAACTGACAGGGTCCAGCCACTGTTTTTTAAAAGCAGGTTCAGTAATGTGAGATGGGGAAGATGCTGTTGGTGGCCTGTCCCTTATCCCTGGGTGGGGCATGGTGTCCCTCTATGTCTCAGACCACTGTCTCCGCCTGTCCCTGCAGTCCTGGGAGCTGCCTGCACCCACAGGGTGACTTCCTGTGGGGCATGACACAGATGGGGCTGCCATGCAAGTCTGCTTCTCTTTCCTCCTTTCCTCACAGTAGCAGGCTGGTACCATCTTCTTCCTCCTGCCAAGTGTCACCCTCCCTCCTCTTCCTTTCTCCCTTCCCACTTGGGGCTTTTTCCCCCCTTTGAAATGTAAGTGACATACAACAATGCATCAGTTCCAAGTGTACAACGTAATGATGCAATATTTGTATATATTGCGAGATGATCACCACGATGGCTGGGTAACATTTGTCATCATACGTAGTTACAGAATTTTTTCTCTTGTGATGAGAACTTTTAAGATTTACTCTTAGCAACTTTCAAATATGCAATAGAGTCTTACTAACTGTAGCTACCATGCTGTATATTACATCCCCAAATTCTTGCAGGGAGCACAGCCGGAGGATGAGTGAATACATTTTGCTGCATGTGTGAAATGTGCAGTCCTTCTGATGGTTTCAGATGGTGTCCACCTTTAGAAACGTTGTTTCGGTGGGCCTGCTTTCATTTTAACATGTGAGAGAAAATAAACACATGGCGCCTGGGCTTTCCCAAATGTTGTTGAACTGCTGAGTTTTAAAACTTGCAGTGATTGTTTTTAATGCAGTAAGTAAAAAAAGGGGCCTTATTTTTTGCAACTACAGGAAATGGGACCATGAATGATGAGTTTAGCATGCCTCTCCTCACCCCCAAGGAGGAAATCCATATTAATTCCTGACATTTATGGAGCACATGAGAAGCACCAAGCCCCATTCTCTGTGTTTTACCATCTTTATTTGCTTGAATCTTCACCACCAACCTATGAGATTATCTAACCTCTGTATCAGAGACGAGGAAACTGAGGCAGGGAGCAGGGTATCACTCAGAGTCCCACAGTGAACGGTCTTAAGGCCAGGATTTGAACTGAAGCAATCAGATGCCAGAGCCTGAACTCTGACCTTGGACTCTCGGTGAAGCTGGAGTTGGAGGGCAAGGTGGGGCCCTGGAAGGCTCGAGGGTCAGATTCCTTAGCCTGGAATACAGAGGAGGGAGATGTGGTGTGCTCTGGAGGGGTGGGGGTTGGCCCTCAGGGAGCGAGAGTCATTCCTCAAAGGCACGTGGACTCTGGGCTCCAGCCCAAGGGCTCCAGCCAAAACGGGAGTCACGGTCTTCTGACCTCTCCTTGCAGGCTCTGTTTTCACGAGGGTTATTTCAGTTCTGGCTCCTGCCAAGTGGGGAGCAGTAAGTTGGCAGGGCGTCTCCAAGTGCCCTCCGCGGGGTCCTGGTCCCTGCAGCCGTGAGCAGCTTTGGAACGCGGGCATTCTCTGGGCCAGCAGTTTCTAGTTTGCAGTGGTGATTTTTGTGTGAAACTCTCTATGCAAATGACACTAACAGTCCAGTCCTGAGGGAAGTCCCCTTCCGAGGTGACCAAGAATTTCTCATTTAAGCAACTGTGTCCATTCTTTTTCACAAAAGGCACTGCCCTGGGCATCTGCAATTTTGTTCATTTTCCTCCTGAAATACGCAGACTGATCATTACCTATCACATTTCCAATGAGCTTTTTTTCATTACTTAATAATTATAACTCCAGTGTATAAGTTGGAGGCCTTGGCTTTCAGGCCTACTTGGCAAACTGTGCAGATAAAGAAAAGGTTGTGAACTTCCCCACATGACCGGGCCTGCCAGTCAGCCTCACACAGTGTAATTTATCTCGAATACACCTCCTGATCTTTGGTGCATTTAAAAATAGCTTGTTAATAGTCTTCCTTTTCAAATTAAGCCAAAACTGCACATGCTGTGAAATGCGTGCTTTCTCTTACTCCCTCCACACACACGCACATGTGCACACACCCTGGTCCTGAGAAGTCACTCAGCAGGCACCCCATGTGGCACAGTGCTTCTGAAATTGTCCTTCAAGCCATCCCTCCTCCCTGCCTGCCGTGGAGATGACAGGACAGTGACAGCCCGTCCTCTGCTTGGTAAGTGTTTCTCTCGGGGGCCCCGGTTAGCAATTATGAAATCAATGTACGTGTATAATACAGCTGAACGATAAGTAAATCTATTGTAAATAAAGAAGGCTGGATTTCCCACAGTCAGCGAAAGAAGTTACAAATAAGCAAGGGGGTGGGAACGTTAGAAAGGACCTTGTGGGACAAGATTAGAAGCAACAATATCAGTGTCAGTTCATGTTTATACATACACACATCTCTGTATGTATTCACAATGTATGCACATGATGTGTGTGTGTGTGTGTGATGTAATGTATATAAATTGTGTGCCTTTGTGTGTTGGGGACATGCAGGTATTTCCCATCTCTGTCTTCTGAGCTGGCCTAGATGCAGTGATACCCCAATTATAATCAGCACACTTACAGCATCCAGATTTGGGTTTCTACGATTCTCTGGTAAAAGGAGCCAGGACTTCCTGGAGAGATGGCTGAGCCTAGAACTGAGCCACTAAGAGAGGGAACGGGGCAGCTTGTGTTGCCCGAAGTAAGGAAGCATTTAAAAAAAAGAGACGGGAGCATGTCAAAAGGACACAGGATCCAAACTGCAAACTTCCCAGGGGTCAAAGCTGTACAACGTGAGCACCAAAATAAATAACACTGGCACTAGATTATGACAAGAGAACAAAATACGTATCTATGAGACCACACTGATATAAGTAAATGACTGAATGAATAAACAAATGGGGGGGAAGAGATAGCCCTTCTTACAAAATAATTCCAACGAATAAATGTAGAAGGCATGAGAGGAACAGAAAATCACCATTAGAATACCATAGTAATAGTTGTGGTAGGCCCCATCCACGGATGAATGCTAAAATCAGGGGGCAAAACTTTAAGGAGAAACAGCCCACCTGCGTAGCCTTGGCGTATCTCCCCCAAACTACTTATTAATCACTGTTGTTGGTTTCAGTATGTCTGCAAGTTTTTCATACTCTTTCCTCCAGGAAATGGAGTTTAACTCGCTTTTGTTTGAGTGTGGCTTGGATTTAGTACCTTATTTTTAAGGAATAGTGTATGAAGAAGGTAAAAACAGGAACTTCACAGTGCAGAAGCCTGGCAGACACCACCATAACCAGATAATCCAGGGCAACACCACCAGTAATAAAGCAGGAATCACACATGAAATCTTAGTCTAGAGCTTAATTTCCCCTCATCAAGGAGGCAGGCACTTCTGAGTGTTCTACCCAGTGTCCTGTGAATCATGAAGTTTTCCAGAGGCGTCACTCTGAGCCCTGTATGAACACTGGCTGCTGCTTCCTCTAATCCTTTAAGCGGGTTCTTTCTCCAGCCTCGGGCAGTTTCCTCTCCTGCCCATGCTGATCAGTGTGCTCTAACACTCGAAGGAGACAGACCCTTTGTGCATCTACAGAATTTTCTCTCTGTGCAGCTCTTTCGTCTCCAATAGTCTGACCTGCACCCTCTAGCTACCTGGTTCCTCTATTCTCCCAAATCTGTCCTTAATTCAGGGAGCCTGCTGAGCCCCGCCTGGGCCCCCCTTAGGGCACCAAATCCTAAAAACTCTCACCCAGTGAGCTGATGCAATCTGCTTTATCCAGCTCCAAGTCCCCAACACACGGCCCGTCGTCCTGACTCCCAGATACATCTCTGACTTCACCTCCTGCCACCTACCCCACCATTCCCTCCATTCCAACCCCACTTACCTGCACGTTGGTTCTTGGACGGAGCAGCGGTGCAGCCCGTTAGCCTCTAGCGTATGGAACCCTCCTTCTGGAACACCCTTTCCCCAGATACCCACGGGGTTCTCTCCCCACGTCCTTGACCTCCAGGCAAAGGTTCCCTTGTCAGAGAGCCCCCCTCCCCAGCCCAGTCCATTCTCACGACACCCATACTCTATCCTGTTACTCTATTTTCTTCAAAATACATGTTACCGCCCAACTTGGGATATACTGCCTGGCTGACTGCCTGCCCCGACTACACTGAAAGCTTCAGAGGAGCAGCGACCTGGTCTGTTTCACTCACCGCACACCCCCAGGACCTAGATAACAGCCTGGAACATAGTAGACACACTGTCCGTATGTTTAATGCATGAATGACTTACAATAAACCTTTTATCAAGAAATGCTCCTTGACCATTCAGTCAAAGACCTGATTGGCTGAGATAGATCTGAACATTTTAAGGAAAAAGGAGGGGAATGTTCAAAGTATTTGGTAGCAGTTAATTTTTTCATCAATCAAGAAACTCTCATCTCTCAAAAAAGGCCCAGCAGGAGCTGAACTGTGGCTGTCGAGTTTCCCATGATATCTTCCAGATCTTGTCTCTCTTTGATGAAGAATATACAAGAGGCAAATCCAGGTTTTTTGTCACTTTACTCAAGGTGTTAACTAAAAGCCAGACAGCTTCCAACCTACTCTCTCAATTATTTAACGAAAATGCCAACAGAGCCCAATTCACTTCTAAAATGCATTGGTACAACCCAATAAAGAGGGGCAACAGAATTTGCAAATGATGCAACTGACAAAGGTTTAATTTCCAGAATATATAAACAGCTCATACCAACTTAATAAGATAAAAGCAAACAACCCAGTCCAAAAATGGGCAGAAGACCTAAACAAGCAGTTCTCCAGTGAAGACATACAAACGGCCGATAGGCACAATATCGCTAATGATCAGAGAAATGCAAATCAAAACTACAATGAGGTATCACCTCACACCAGTCAGAATGGCCATCATTCAAAAGTCCACAAATGATACATGCTGGAGAGGGTGTGGAGAAAAGGGCACCCTCCTACACTGCTGGTAGAAACATAGTTTGGTGCAGCCATTATGGAGGACAGTATGGAGATTCTTCAAAAAACTAAAATAGACTTACCATATGATCTAGCAATCCCACTCCTGGGGATATATCCAGAGAGAACCCTAATTCAAAAAGATACAGGCACCCCAATATTCACAGCAGCACTATATACAGTAGCCAAGACATGGAAGCAACCTAAATGTCCATTGACAGATGACTGGATAAAGAAGTTGTGGTATATTTATACGATGGAATACTACTCAGCCATAGGAAGAATAAAATAATGCCATTTGAAGCAACATGGATGGACCTGGAGATCGTCACTCTAAGTGAAGTAAGACAGAAAGAGAAAGAAAAATGCCATATGATTATCACTCATATGTGGACTCTAAAAAAAGAAAAAAGAGGACACTAATGAACTCATCTACAAAACAGAAACAAGACTCACAGAGATAGTGAATAATCTTATGGTTACCAGGGGAGAGGGAGTGGGAAGGGACAAATTTGGTAGTTTGAGATTTGCAGATGTTAACCACTATATATATATATATATGAATAGATTAAAAAAACCAAATTTTTTCTGTATAGCACAAGGAACTATATTCAATATCTTGTAATAACCTTTAATGGAAAAGTATATGAAAACGAATATATGTATGTATATGCATGACTGGGACATTGTGCTGTACACTTGAGATTGACACATTGTAACTGACTATATACTTCAATTAAAAAAAAAAGAAGGAACAGCAGGAAAAGCCAACAACACGAAGTGTGGCCTAAAGTTGCTTTTTATTTCATGAAACCCAAACTGCTGCAAATATCAATCTCAGAACGTTTTATAAAGACATTAAAGGAAAAAGGCAACAAGAAATGTAACACACACACAAATATTATCACCAGAGATCGAAGTAATTCAGAGAAAGATTAAAATATTCTTTGACCGATGGCGATATTGAGAAACCACACACCGTAAAATGCAAATCTGGAATAAAAGCAAATAATACACGTCTGCTTTTTACTCTTCAAAATTGAAACAACACAAGCTAATGACAGAGTACAAAATGGTTGTTGAATACACTACGTCTAATACTCCAACACGTCAATCATTTGCCACCCAAATCAGAGGTCTAAACAGACTCATGCTTGTACCTCGTTGACCTCTGCACCCACACCTCTGAATTTAGTGTTTATTTCGTAGTCAAATAAGATTCTGCTAGAAATCTCTAGGACCAGGATCAGAGACAGAATTACAATTATCCACTCCCAGGAGAAACGGAGGAGGTGTCTGCATTGAAAGTCCTCTAATTCCCGGATTCTCTGTCCAATATAAACCACTTAATAGTCTACACTGGCATTTCAAAGCTTGAGAAAGGGAATGTTGTATCAGCCTAAACTTCACTCTGGTTACTTCCTACAAGCAGAGAGCAAGACTAGAAAAGGGCCCCTCGAGCTAAAAAACGTACCTAAGTAGAGACATGTAGACCTGATGTCTACTCCCAGTTACGGATACAAGTGACACTGGGAAGTGAACTAGGTCTATCGCTTCCGTTAAAAGGGCTACGCTACCAAGTGTTCGTCTTTTCCCCTTACCTCTAAGTTAAATAATTTAGAATAGATGATGCTGCATTTTAACTGTTGAGACTAAACATTCAGCCTGCATAAGAGATACATTTTTTAGAGTAAACATCTCATACAGTTTCTCTTTTAAAAAATAGCTTTGATCTACTTCTGATGCCCCTAGACATTTGCACTATGGAAGCCTCCACGGTATTTGCAACGTCTGGCTCAGGGACCACTGAAATATCAGATACCCCTTTGCTGGCCAAACATCAGAGTGAGTATTCAGCCAGTTCAAAGTTTTGCTAAACCACCGGTTCTCAGATTTTGCCTTATATCACAATCACCTGGAAGGCTTGTTAACATACAGACTATCCTGCCCACCCCCAGAGTTTCTGATTCAGTAGGTCCAGGGCGGGGCTGAGAACCTGCACTTCTAACAAGTTCCTAAGTGATGCAGATGCCCATGGTCTGGGGACCATGCTTTGAGAATCACTGCCTTAATATAACCTACTCACTTGTATGCAATGAAAGTTTAGCACCCGGAGCCCACGTGGGACTTACTAAGCTCTCTTCAAGGCTCAGCCCCAGGGATTATCCCTGAGAAAGTCCATTTTCACTACCTCCATTATTGCAACTGTCGCGCTAAGGCAGCTAAAGCGTCCTTAACACTATTTGCTTATTAGCATCTTGGTTTTGCGGGGCAAGGATGGTGTGTGTTGCCGATTTCTCACCCAAGGGGCTGCAATCACCTGGGTGTCCCCAGAGGCCCTGGATCTGTCACCCTCCTCCGTTGCAGGACTCATGCCTCTGGGGGACCAAAAGCCACAGCTACATGTCTCTGCCCAGAAGATCTATCTCGTCCAGGAGGAAGTCCATGTCCTCCCGGCTGACTTGAGGGCTGATCACCACCTGCCGGAAGAAGTTGACCTTCCCCCGGTGGGGCTGGTAGCTCAGCATGAGGCTTCCTTTCTTCATCATCCGCTCCTTAATGGCCGGGGCCACCTGCACAGGTGAGAGGAGGCAGGCAGTAAGAGACCAGAACACCAAGGCCTGACAGTGGCATCTTACTCAGTCACTGGATCCTTGCAGGGCAGCCACTGGTGCACATTTCATCCTCACATGCACAGTAAGACGTATACGACATTTGCAAGAATAATCTGCTGAGAACGTATGGCATAGGATGACGGGTTCATGTGCTCTAGGTAGGTGAATTCACTTACTCTTCACAATAACTCCATGAGGGAGAAGCCATTAGCATACACTTTATCGATGAGGGAGCTGAGATGCAATGGAGGTTAAGTAAGTAGCCTGAGGTCCTGCGTTTGGTAAGTGGGAGATTTAAAGCCAGGCAGTCTCACCAAGCCCACGCTCGGAAACTGAAATCTATGCAATGCTGCATCACTGAGAACAAAGCGGGTGTCCTCAGGGGTCGGTCTCCAGAGTGTCAGAATGTTACGTTCCTGTGTTTGCCTGAACTGAAAAAGCATTCCAGTGCAGGCAACTCGAAGGAAGAAAATTAGCCATGGATGGATAAAAATCACACAAAATAACAGTCCTGCCTGTGTGCCAGTACTAATCCACCCGGAAGAGCTGGTCCACGGGGGACACGTCAGTGTCTGTCCAGGAGTCACAGGCCATCGACTTTAGAGCTTACAGCTTGTGGTTCCTTAGTTTTGTTTTGTTTTGGGTTTTTTTTTGACATAAAATTTCATATTTTGAAATAAAATTTCTCTTCATATTTATCTCCATCCTCCTCCAGGGTGCCCAGGGGATAACCTGCTCTGGCTGATAGCCAATTTTAAATTTCAAACAGGCACGGTCTTGGCTCACACCTAGTTTGCATTTTTGGTTTTTTGTGGACTATTCCTGCTTACTTTTCCTGGATTTGTCTTCTGCAAATGATATTGTACGTCTCACCTTTAGGAAGCAGTCGAATTTTGATTCCAGCTCCTAACGTGTCAGAGGCTCACAGGAGGCAATTAGCAAGATGAATGTCAAGTTTGCATTTCTCATAAGCAAATCAAAAAAAAAAAAACCTCCTAGTGTGAGTGAGAAAGAGGACCCCCTCAGACGTTTTTGATCTTTAAATTCTTGCTCTTGTGGAAGGCCTGTAAATGTGCTTCCATGGACAGAACACACATGGCTTAAGAACCAAAGTTCTCAGCCACATTTTGTCACTGACTTCCAAAATTTATAAATAAATGGCTGAAGATCTGCGTGATTCAGAGAACCAGTGAGGCAAGAGGCTGGCAAGACAGCACACATCTCATTTTTGCATCCGTGAATATAAGCTGAATTCCGAGAGGGGAGAGCCCCTCCTCTGACTGGGAAAACTTCGTGGGGAGAACGAGGTGTGAGCGATGCCAAGGCTGATATTCATTAAATCGGCCACGAGTTGTAACTGTAGAAGTAGCAGGGGTTGTTGGTACTGTTAACAAGTATCTCACCAACTCTTTACATCTTGCAAAGTGCTTTCATGCCTCTGATTCCCATGAACTTAAAGCTTATTTGAAAGGAACCCATGGTTTTGCCATTTTGGGACCAAGAACGTTCTCCTTAACAGCCAGCTTATCAGCTTTGTGCTTTAAAAAATATCGACTATTTCCTATTGATAAAGCTGCAGGCGGAATTCAGGGCTGGGCCACTTGGATAGTCTCTTTTGCTGAGCACAGCAGAGAAACAGTCCTCTTCTGACTGGATAGGATAGTCCCAGGGGAAAGAAAATGTGCGCAAACTAACTGTAAGTCTCTGAATATCGCCCCTAAATGGAGCACACGCGGAGGAAAGCAATCTGGCAGGAGTGAGATTGCTTTCCAGCTCTTCATTATTTTACTGCTGGTTTTCCCTCAAATTGTAAATCAAATTCTTTTCTCATGCTTCAGGGCACGGGTCCCTGCTTCTTAAGTGGAGGAAGATTCTGACATTTCTATTTGGTTGTGCAGAAACTTAATCGACACGTTCCTGTAGGATGGCTGTTTCCCCCTCTTAAATTATGTTGCAGCAATGAGTTTGTCATTTAAACGGAATTTTGGTGTCACAAGCCTGCAGCATAAGACAGCATTTGGTATGGAAAAGTTGCTGAAATTTAAGGAAAAAAAACCCAAAAACACCAACTCTCTCATTCTGGCCAGGTACAGTAATTGGATAACAAACAACCGACCAGGTGCTATCACAATCTTTGATTAAAATAAAATTGTAACGTCCATAAAAGTGACATTTCTTCTTTAAAATGTGTAACATATCTAATGTTAAACAACATTTTTTTTTCAATATACAAAGCGTTTCTCAGACTCTCTGGAAGGAAGTGTATTTTTTCCAGTCCATTACAATAGACATAGTTTTGGGAAATACAGTAAAAGTGAATGACTAAATGAAAATGAATTACTAAATAAAAATGAAATAAAAAGACATAAAAATACAAGCTCAAATTTTTTTTTAATTCAACAGTAAAGTTACTGCTGTTATAAAAGTTTCTAAACAGTAACTCTGGATTTTCCTTATTTTTCTTACTGCATACTGGTAACACCCAGTTCACGGACCTGCGGGGGACTGGAGACCACATTTTGAGGATTTCGGCTCTGTGTCCTTGGCTCCCTGGGGGTGTATATTACTTTGGTCCCGAGTCCTGGTGTTATTTTGCACACTGGCGTGGGGGCCACACCATTTTGGGTGCTGCTCTTCACTGTCCCACGGCACCGTGGTTGCCCTACACATGCCCCACTTGTTAAGTCTTGGAACTGCTTCACATCTAATGGCATTTCAGTGAAACTGCAGACCCAGCCATGAAACCTCTAAACCAGTTCTTCAAAGTCTAGTTCAGAGATGCTAAGAGTAAACATCTCAAAATGTCCTAGACTTTAGTGTCTTTATACACCTTTTCCCATCATTTGCTCTAAGGGTGAAATCATCACATTTTTACCAAAGAGGGAGCTGAGAAATAAATAAACGAGGGGAGGCTTTTGCAGCAAATATGAGGGACAAAGACCACATACACATCTGCTACGACTCGAGGCAGCAGAATCATTCAGAGCTTCTAATAAATCCAGAGAGATCTGTTTTGCTAAATTCACCCCAAAATCATGAACAAATCCATGTTCTTCAAACTGCAGATTTTAGAGCTGTCTGCTCAGTTTCGGTTTAATTAAACTTTCATTTCATCATCTCTAAGGGAGCAAAGATTCTTTAAGGAGTAGGAGGCTAAACTCATAATACTTTGTACATCATGTGGGTAGAGTATGGGGTGGGCAGGCAGACTAGCACACTGAAGAATAAATTATGAGAGTTTTCTTGTAATTAACACTCTTTCTAAGATTATCTCGCCTAAAAGTTAATTGTATCAAAGGCAGAAAATTATCTACAGTAATTTTTTTTCCTGTCTATAATAGTCACTTGAAAGAGTCTTTAATTTCCTTATTTAAAAGATTTTCCTTATATTTACACTGAACTTTATACATCTTTGGCCTCTTCTGTCATTTCCCAGAACAGAGTTTGTAGCCACACCAAGGCTACTCATTGCGACACATGGTTAAGCAAACAAACACTGAGAAAGCAGTTGAGAGGGGGCTAACTCAGCCGCTGCACTTGAATGCCAGTTGTTCCAGATCTGCGGTGGCAAGCTGGTTTTTTTTTGTTGTTGTTTTTTTTTGTTTTTTCTGTAAAGCACCAGACAGTAAATATTTTAGGCTTTGTAAGTCATACAATCTCTGCTGCAAATACTCAGCTTTGCCACTGTAGCCTGAAAGCGACCTTAGACAATATACAACGGAACATGACTATGTTCTAATAAAACTTTATTTAGGGATGATGAAATTTGGCATCGTGTGATCTTCACGTCACAAAACAGTAACCACTTTTGATTATTTTTCAACCACTTAAAAATGTTAAGCCCATTTGTAGCTCCTTTGGCTGTAGGTGATAAACTGGATTTGGCTTTGGACATGATTTACCAACTCCCTGGTCAAAAATGGTGGAAAAAAAATACATTATGATACGTAAAATCTACCCCTTTGAAAGAAAAAGTGCCTGAAAATTATGCTCGTTGGGCTTCTTCCAGAAATTGTGAATTGAGCCAGGAAATGACGAAGGTCTCCCAGTTCTCCTTCCCAAGCAGAGCATGGAACCAGGGCCACAGATGGATGCGCAGGGTTTCCTCTGTGCCTTTCTTCCAGAACATTTGTTCTTGAACAATCACAGAAAGTAACCTGCTTTATATTTTCTCCCCAAATCATCTAGCTTCCAAATAAGTCCCATCTTCCACGTTAACTTGTGGTGGGTTTTTATGAGTAGGATATTAAAATCTAGCCCATGAGAAGAGTTGGTGTGGAATGTTCATACTGTGTCCCTGGCACCTGACACGAAGCTGTTTCTGAGACCAATGAAGAGCGACATACCTGCTCTTCCCATCAAGTCACTCTTTTCGGGGAACACTTTGGGGACATCTCAGATCTGAGCTGGGACAGAGATGCAATGCCAATCAAGGCATCCAGGCAGAGGCCAGAATTCAAGCTGTGAATAGCAGCAAGGGCCAGAATTTAAAGGGTAGAATTCCAGCCCTGTAGAAGAATTAGCATGACTGAGCCACTCAGAGAGCTTGAATGGGCTTTCCACATGCCTTCTTTCTTTGGAGGTGGGGGGGTGGGTGGGGGCAATCTAGGAAACAAACAGCCTTTCCCCAGTGCTTAGGAGCTGAAGACCAACAAATCATCTGAGAAAAGCTACCCTGGAGAGACTCCCCAGCCAGTCTGCAGTGACAGAAAACAAGACAGGAGAAGGCCTGCAACCCCTTTCATCGTTTGCTCATTTCTCTGGTATTTATCTCCGTAACTGAACGGCCACGATGGTCCCCGCCGAGCTGGTAAGTGGAAGGTCATCAGAACACCTCTGCTGGACCCCAGGCTGAACATAGATTTGCATCTCTGCTTCCCTGTGGGCTTCAATTTCAAGAAGAGGTATATTCTCCTGTGGAAAAGTGCTTTCCATCCATTTCTGAGCACGAAAGACCT